CGGAGCCCGAGGAGCCGCCGCAACCCTCCGCGCCACCGCAACCCTCCGCGCCACTGCCGCCCGCTATGGCAGGTCAGCCCGCTCGCCTGCCCTCCCTCCTGCTCCTTCTCCCTCCGTGAGGCCGGATTGCCCGCGGCGCCGCCCGCCCCTCGGCACCGCTGTCACCACCGCCGCTGCCGCCCTCCATTCGCGGCGCCCCGGGGGGCTCCCGCCATCGCGCCGCTCCCCGCCCGCCCCCAGTGCGAGGCGCCTCCATGTTGCTGCACTTCACCTTGCTCCCCCTCCAGTGTCACCCGCGCCGCTCCTCTCTATTTTTAACACCCCCTGTTATTTTTACTATCCCCCCGTTATCTTTAATACCGTTCCATATTCTTGTTACGCCCTCCTTTATTTTTAATATCTACTATTGTGCTTTAAAAGCCTTTTTTCAGCCGGACGCTGCTGCCAGCCTGTGCCGCCCGTGAGGGAAAGGGGCAGCTACCTGATGGCGCGGCCTCCTTTACCTCAGACAGCAGCCCGCAGCCCCGTTAACATTATATATATTTAAAGGGAAGTGGGTGTTATTTTCTTTGTTTCGCACCGAAATCACCCGTTTTTAAAATTATTATTAACGCTTTGAAACAAAATGGGTGGCAGAGCTGCCGAGCTTGCAGAGGGGGGATGAAGGCGGCAGGTTAATTTTCCCCTCTGGTCCTGGCTGGTCCCATCCCCATGATGTGCTTTTTTAATTGAAATTATTTCATTTATTTTGTGGCAATTCGTTCGGTAGTGTGAGGTTCTTGGAGACGCTTGATATTTGAGGTTTTAGGGGCTCGAGCCCCTTGGGTGTCACATGCAGTTTTCCTTTTGTTTTAGGATAGATTTTTTTTTTTTCTTTTCGTCAGAGGTGAGCGCTAACAGAAAAATCCTGAACAAAGCTCACTCCTAGCATCCTCCTTGCATTTCCCAACTTAACATTAATAACCAAATACCTACACATCCCCTTTAAGCTCTTCCCATTCATTGTAGCATTGCTAATCTTAATAAAAGCTTAAAAAAGGTGCGAGCGCAGGGAGAGGCTCTTGGCAGGATTTAATTCCTGCCCGTTCATCTTGAGGCTGTTACATCCTCGACTGAGACAACAGATGCTTAACTGGGTTTTGGGTCCTCTCTTCCAATGGGTTATATCCCGTAACCTCTCCAGGCAAGTGATGGATGGGGGCTGACATCCCCCAATGTAGAAGATTTTGTCAAGAAAGAGAAATTTCTTTTTTTTTTTTTTTTGATATGGTTTTTAAAAAAAGT